TACTTTGTTTAGTTACTGGAAAAAATTACAATTTTATAACAAGCAGTGATCTTATACAGAGTGGTGAAAGAAATGTTGTAAACTTTATTTTGTTTATTAAACATTCACTTATCATCAAAATATTACAAAATTAATGCATAGTTAATTGCCAGAAAATGAAAAGTGAGTTTATTGCAAAATGTATTCAATATGCATAATATCGTATTTCACAACATACTGCAAATGAACTTTCGCATTTGTCACATCCCTCTGGCACACAGCTCCCAAAGTGCAAAGCGCAACTGCACAATATCAGACTTGAGTTACAGTGACTTTGCAGGTTTTCTTACAAATATTTTACCTCTCATAAATCACCATAAAAAGAAATTACGTAGATTAATATTTGAGTTATGCACAGATCACTGATTTCTGCCTTTGTGATTCTCAGGAAACCAATGTGACATTACATGTACATTAAATTTCTCATATGGGGAATCAAAAACATTTGCACGTGAGGAATAAATGTGTTCTCCAACATGTGTTTGTTTCACATTTTATTTATTATTTCATCAGAGAAAAAACATCCAATTATTCTGTTGACTGAAACTGCACACATACTAACTCTGAAATTCTTAATTTTATGCAATCTGAGATGTTCACATGCCTAAATCGAGCATTTTGCTTCTTCACCACAGCATTTAAATAAAAATATACCTCACTCATAAACCAACTGAGCAAAAAATGATTTTATCCCATTAAAGAGGCAAAATGAAGTCTTAGTTTCTTGTCCTCTGCTGTTAGCTCAAAGACAACTGACATTTTGTAAGGGAACAAATAAAAATCAAAGGGCAGAATCTTTTGGAATGATCTGTGAGATATTCATAACCCATCGGCCATTCTCCCCCTCATTGATTTGCTCGGGCTTCACGTCGAAGCCCCATTAACTGCTTCAATGATTCAGGTATGAGGACATCTCACGGATGCCATCAATTCTTGTATTATATTTCCAATGACACACCTTGCAAATAGTTCTGTCTGCAAGGAGCACATCTTGTATTAAAGTTATGTGAAAATGTCTTTGTGTTGACCCCAAATTCTTTGATTCTACAAAAAACATTACAACTTTCACCTCCAGTTCGGCACTCAACCATCCATTAACTACCATCTTACAACATGCTTTGAAGTGCAGTTTTATAACCGAATATGTGTTTTTGATATTCAATATGTAATATTAAAATTTTCATGCAGTGACTGAATGGTATGAAATCTTGTGCATCACCCCATACTTATATCAATAACTATTTTGAACAAATATATCTAATGACAACAAAGAGCCTATCAAATAAAATATTGCTCTATATTTTAAGAATCAGTACTGAGTGCTCTTTAATTATTCTTCATAGACAATCAATCTTGATGTAAGATAAAGATGCAAATAATCAAGATTATAGATTATAGATTTCTATAGCCAAATAAATAAAACATATCAGACCCAATCTAGGAATTCTTTATATGGCAGTTCTACATTGTGCCTTTGCTGATTAATAGTTTTTCAAAAGCAAACAATGCAATATATAGCTCTCTTAACTTTCTAAAAGTTCAATTTTCTTCAACACAGCATTTTCATTTTCACAAAAAGCATGTTTTGAAGCATATAGAATACAATTAAGACATATTCACATGCTTCAAAAAATGTAGTGAATGCAGGTTATTAGTAATTACTTGGAATGTCTTGACAGCTATTCCTTAACCCGCTAATGCCCATGGTAGCATATTTGCTACCATATATTAAACGGCATGTTTTTATAGCAGGAACGCCACGAAATGTAATTTTTATGTCCTAAATTCATAAATCAAACCGTCCCCATGTATTATTAGCAAATTTTAGGCAAAGATAGCAGTGCCAGCTTAAAGGAAAAAAGTTAAAAGAAGAATGGATGCAGCAAACAATGCAAGCACCTTTTCAGACATACTTTGTTTGTTTATTTTGAAAATATTTTAATAAAACAGTTAATAATTACTATTTATATAAAGTAAAAGAGTTAATGTATCACACAGTATAAAATAGTTTTTACAAAATTATTGTTTTTAATGCTAAAATAATGTTTAATGTTTAATTTTTTAATGCTTTTTAATGTGCTTTTAATACACAAATGCCCATGGTAGCAAATCTGCTAGCATGGGCATTCATGTATCTAAGCCTAGCAGTTCTTTGAAGAAAATATGTTTTTACATTGAAATTAGTTCATGATCTTAAATCTTTGTAATTTTACAGATAATTTATCCTTAAATGCAGTTTATAGATTTAAATTTTATTAGTTTAAATTTTGATATTTTTCAATTTAAAAAATATTTTAAGATATATTTCTCATGTAAAGAAGTCTCTAGGAACATTCATTTTGAGATTTAAGTTGAAAAATAAATTCAATCCTCTACTAAATCTCAAGTTTCTTTTTAATATCTTTGCATTTTATTTATTGAATGAAATTTTTAAAAACAATTGAAAAAATTTTTTTGGAATTTTGAATAAAATCTTGAATTTTTTCCGCCATGCACTTAGGTCCCTTTTCCACAGTGTATGAGAAAGAAATGTGTTTAAAAAAACCGGAAGATGCCATAACATATAGGCATGATTTGGAAAGTGATTTATCTGACATATCTGATGCCGACTCTGATGATGAATATATGCCTACACAAAGGTCTGATATCTTCCATGAAGAAAGCTCAAATGATAAAGACCAATATCATAATGAAAATGTAGAAAATGACCAATATGCATCAAATATGGAAAAAAGTGTCGATCTACATAAGAGCTATAAAAATTTAAAAATTCTCTGGAGGAAAAAAAAACTAATCTTATGCCTTCATCAAATGATAATTGTTATATCAACAGATATGATAAAATTATTAGTTGAACAAACAAATCTGTATAGTGTTCAACAAACAAGAACTTCTGTTAAGGTGACGGCAAATGAAATAGAGCAAGTAATAGGAATGATTATCAGAATGGGATTAGTCTGTATACCTCATATTAGAGAATATTGGGAAGAGGGAATAAAGTATGAACCAATTGCATATGTAATGTCTAAAAACAGACATAAAAAAATTTTTGCATATTGCAGATAACACACAAATAGATGATAATGTTACAAGTGACAAATGTTGGAAAGTGTGAACGTGGTTATCTAGACTTAAAGAAAACATGCTCTCCGTTCCAGATGAGACTAAGCAGTCTATTGATGAAATAATGATTCCATTTCGTGGGAGAATCCAAATCAAACAATATATGCCTAAAAAACCTCATAGCAAATGGGGTTTAAAAATGTGGGCCTGGTATGAAAATTCAGGCATTTGATACGATTTTGATGTTTACACTGGAAAATCTGAAGGTTACTATGGGGATCAAACTGCTTATGCATTAGCATTAGGAGCAGGTGTTGTGATGCAGTTATGCAGAACTCTAAATAACCCAACAAAAACTACTATCTTTGCAGATAACATTTTCTCTGGAATACCAATAGTATGTGAACTATCCAAGAAAAGTATAGGATTTGTTGGGACTTTGAAGGAAAACAGGCTGATGAAATGTACATTAACCCCTTAACTGCCGCGGGTGTATATAAATGCCTTGCTCAGCCAATGCGTTAACTGCCCCGGGCATATATACAGTCAAAAGTCGTTAATCCGGACTTGTCGGGACTTCGGCGATTCCGGATTATCGATTTTTCCGGATTATAGATCATCAGTTTAAATCTGGTAAAATGGCATGAAGAAATTATAAAATTAAAAATATGAAACCGTAATTTATGAAATAAAGAACAATTATGATCTAAAGTAAATTTTGATTTTTTGTAAATTTTGATCATAATTAAATCAATTATGATCAAAATTTACAAAAAAAAAAAAAAAAAAAAAAAAAGCTTAATATTTATTTGTTTACTTTATTAAACATTTTTTTCAATGTAAGTTGTTTAAGTTGCTTCGTTTTTTATGTGATAATACATTCTCTTTAATTCAACATACATAATTTCTTGTTTAGTTACAAAGTTCTGCTGTTCAAGTCCTATAATTGCAGTGTCGAGAATACCGATTAATTTGTCAATCGAAAATTTTTCGTTTTCAATAACCTCTGTGTCACTTTCTTCACTATCGGAAGCGAATTATAATGACGAGGCATTTGATTTAAATCATATCAAAGGCAGAGTATATCGAAATGAAATACTATATTTAGTAAGCAATTATAAGCCAAATAAAATAAAAACATCTGCCCTGAAGATAAGGATAGTGCTGACAGATCAACTTCCAATTCATTGGGCGCCCGCTGCCGCATTAAAGATAAACAAAGTTTAGATAAACAAAGGATATGCCTTTATCCATTTTTTGCAGCAATTTCACTTTTTGTTTAATGGACTCCGAAACATGCTTTCGCTTTGTAGATCCGTTACATATTAGTAAATATAAATCGGAAATTCTATTTGACATAATCGAAAGTTCAAGCTTACTTTTATAAAATTGCTCTAACAATCTGCAAAAAATAATAAGCCGGTCCAGATTATAGATCATTCCGGATTATGGGTGTCCGAATTAACGACTTTTGACTGTATATACACCCTTCCAAAATACTATCATTTGCTTTGCACTGCTACCCATAAAATTATTCGCAAAGCTTTGGAATGCAACAAAGCAATGACCTTGACAAAGTATGCAAAGGAGGATACTTTTTCAGAGAAGTAGCGGGGAGAAATTAGAGGAATGTATTTAAAGCGGTGAAAGTAATGACTGCACGGTATTGGCTGGTGGTGTCCGAGTAAAACATATAAGATACAAAGAACAAAAAGATAAAAGATACAAAGAACAATTAAGAAATTCTTTTGCGTCCATTTAAGAACTGAAATTGTAAATAATTTCAATTCTTAAATGGATGCAAAAGAATTTATGAAAATTAAGTTTAAAAAAATATTACAAATAAAATATTTAGCAGAAAATAATTAATTCCTGCATTCTTGGGGAAGCAGACTTACTTGGCTGGCAACTTCAGGATTCGCAGCCAAGGCATCCATCATTGATTGCATATATGGGGCACTAAACATTTCTTGCACAAGTTGTGGATTCTGCATCATTTGCTGCATTATACTCTGCAAACCTGGCGAAGTGAAAAGCCCACTGGCAGTTGTTGCTTCTGTTGTGCCTTGCTGGGTGTCACTGCTCTCCTTGTTAGATGCCTCTGTCTCAGATGCTTGAGATTCACTTGTTACGGATTTAACAGAAGCTTCACTTTCAGATTCTCTAGCTTTTGAATCTGATTCTGCAAAAAGCAATTCTTTTTCATAAGGTACATAACAAAAACAAGTTTTATAAATACTTTCTTTTGCTATTATTTAATATTTAATTCAAGAGTTAAAAAGAAAAAAAAAATTAATCTTCAAATTTTTATTTAGAAAAATAGCAAGTTTCAAAAACACATAACAACTAAGCAATTATTAAGAGTAGTCAATGTTTTTTTCAAGTGCAGTAAAATCTCTCACAATCAGCATCCAATTGGCTGGTAATATCCTGACAGTGACACTTTTAAAGATCTAAATTCAAATCTGAAATTTAATCTGAGGATATAAAAGAGATATATAACTAGCTAATACTTAAATATGGGAAACACCTACATATCCGGTGTATGTACTGGAAAGGGAAATGGTTAAAATAGAAATGAGAAGAATAAAAATGAAGACAACATACACAGCAGTTATGTGGAAGAGAAAGTTGACTTCCATACGATTTCTTGAGAAATATTCATCTATGCCAGTATATAATGCTATGAAAATTTACTGTATATACAGTGAATTTTCCAAACTGTAGTAACAATCGTCTAAGCAGATAGATATTCAATTATATGCCATCACACTAAGAAATTTATAACTTTCATGTGATAAGATATATAATAATTTTTAAAACATTTGTTTTTGTTTTTCTGAAATGTAAAATTATAATCCCTGATCCAAACAATAAATCAAAGATTTATCTAGAACATAAAAATGAATCACCAATCCCTTTTTACGTCTTCATGTGTGAACTTTGAAGGTTCTGCACATGATTTTCAGCAATAATTCACACTGAACAAGATACCAAATTCACTTTGTTTAGAAAGATACAAAGAACAATTGTTTATACCAATGATCTCAGTCTCAATCAATTTTACACACCCCGTCAATACATTTCCTGAAGTTAATTAGCATTATTATGCCAATAATTATTACAACAAGAAACCAGACTGACAGATCAGCACCTAATGATAGTTTCCAGGATTATTTCCCAAGAATACAAACTTTATCAAAATCAAAACGCTATGAGGTGGTACAGCTGAAAGTTGTAGTAAGAAATAAAGTTATAATGATTTGCGTAGAAATATAATCATTCTTTCTGTATGTAACAAAGAAAAATTTAATAAATAAAAGATAATAGGTTATCATTCTTCATTCTGAAGTTTTGTCACACTTCACAGTTTTCACAATTTGCTTACTTTACGTAAGTTATCGAGTAGCTAATTCAACATATTAGAGTTATTTGAAACAAATATTCATTTGCAAATTTAACATTCAGCTGTCAATACATTTGAATTGCAAAGTGCAACCAACAGAAATTTCTTGCTGATACAAACCTATAGATTTCAGACACAAAATATGTAAATTAGAATTTTTTCCTAGGTATAATTATTGTTACTATTTATGCATATTTTAATAAATATTTAGCAAATAAAATTTTTTAAATTAAGTTAAAAAACTTGTTTTGTTAAGAAAACCTTTTTGCGTTGGTTTTTTTACAAAAAGGGCCTGTAAGCTGCTTTGAGATGTTGTATGTATTAGAAAGGAAAATGGTGATGATAAGAATTAAAAATGAAGCCAACATACACAACAAGAAAATTATCTGGAAAAGAAAGTTGACAAAGGATTGCGACTTTCATAAGATTTGACGAGAAATGCTCATCTATGCTAGTATATAATGTTAGTGAAATATACAGTGAATTTCCAGATTACAGCAACAATTTTGTACACAGACAAATACAATACATACATATATACTGTATATACAGTGAATTTTTCAAACTACTACAACAATTTTGTATGCAGGCAGATATTATAGTTATGTGCCATCACACCTAAGAAATTTATAACTTTCATATTATAAGACATATAATAATTTAAAAAGCATCGTTTAATTTTATTTTTCTGAAAATGTAAAATTATGTGCATGTAATTTAATTTTCAATGATCTATAGGACTTTTTTATATTACTTAATTTTTGCAACTCATAGATTAAAAAATATGACCAATGGGCATGGCATGCTTCAGTTTCTACAGATGACATCACAAAGCATGAGCAAGTAAGTTCTAGAAATATATTTTTAATTACCTGAAAGAAAAAATAAATCTCTCATACAGAATTGGGAAGGTCCTATTACTATCGATTAAAAGAGATTCTATTGTATTTTACAGGATCTCAAAAAAATATTTATCCAAAATTGATTAAAATAATTTCTTCATATTTCAAAGCATTTTAAAAATTACATAAAAAGACAAAGACTTTTAACACAGAAAATGGCATAATAATAAGTTTACAAAATGTTAGAAACCTTTCAAAATGGTAAAATAGTCCTGAATTTTTAAACATCTTCTCTCTAATTTATTAAGCACATTATATTATTTCCGATTACAGCAATGGGTGAAACTGAGTCGCTGTGAATTTTAATATGTTTTTATGAAGCCTTCAAAAATTTAAAACTTTTATAGGTCTATAAGTTAGAAACAATACTTAGAAATTTATCTTCTAGTCACAGAAAATTTTTAAATAACATTTTACATAACCTAATATAATCTACTTAACACCAACTGGTAGTTTATTTTGCAATCAAAAATAAAAATGTCATATAATTTTAAAACACTAAATTTAAATAAAGAATATAAAATAATAATTTTACTAAAAAATCTTATAAGTATGCTTTAATGATCTTAAGAAATTAAAAAGATTTCTTTTGTTTGGTTTCAGTAATAATATATCTTAAAACATCAATACCAAGAGAGAAATTTTGATCAAATTTATATAAATCTTACATTTAAAAAAGGGGGGCAGAGACAGAAATTTCTATTATTTCAGGAATTTTCAATGATGTCAATTGCTAATCACTTGCTAACTAAAAAAAATAATATTTTTTCAATATATTTGCTTCAAGTTAAGAGTGTACTTTTCACTTATTCTCCATATTTATCTAACAGAATTAGAAATAATAAAATGTGTAGACGATGATTTCTCTCTCTCACACGCACACACACACAAAGGGGGGGGATTAAAATTGCAAACTTTAACATATTTCAGCTTGAATAAATAAATGTAAGTAAAATAATTATCTTCATAGCAACCTGTTTCTTTATTATTAGTATCTTCTACATTCTGACTAGCTGAAGCTGGCAGAGTCTAAAAATATTAAATCAAAAAATTAATAAAACAAAAACTGCATTTAAAATTCAAAAAAGATTCATTAAACACATGTTGCTTTATTAAAATATTACAGAATTTTTAACAAGGCTAATGCAATATAATGCATAATAACAGCTTACTTCAACTCTAGTTCTGATTAATTCTTGTAACATGACTGGGTTTCTAGCAATTTCCATCGTGTTACGTAATACCTCTGGATTACTCAGCATGTGGCCAATTTCTGGATTTTTCTGTAAAAAATTTAGCTTTCAGTAGATAATTTAAATATATAAAATGCCAATAAGTAAGAAATAAGGAACAGTCTAAAAGAATGTATAAGATTGGCAAGACAATAATTTTGGATTTTTTAGTATGAAATAAAACTCAATATTAATTTTTAAATAAAAAAATGAACTTTAGTCAGTCAAAAATCTTTTACTCTGTTTGATGACTTTTAGCCATCTTTCATGATTCCATGCACATATAACTTACGGCCTTTATCAGCAAAAAAATCCACCAAACGTGATTTGAGGTCATTATTATTACTATCATTACATTATTTTTACCATTTAAGAAGTTCTGTAAACTTTGAAATAAATCATAATCCGATTATGCAAGGTCTGGCTATATAAAGGGTGCAACGCATCACTTTCCAACCAGATTCTGATAATTTCGTATGTATTGCTTAAGATGGCAATGAGAATGCACAGGTACTGTCATGACTCAACAGTAATTTGCTTTAAAAAAAAAAAAAAAAGTGGCTCTAAAATAGACAGTATTGTTAACAGAAAGGATCATCCACAGAATGTATGGTGGTAACTATTTACATTACCATTCACTTAATTTCTGTTGGAGCATAAAATCAAGAGGCAAGTAATAATTCTGCTCTCAAATAACACACATAAATTTATTTACATATAATACAATGGTTACAATCATAATTACTAGGTATATGACTTTGCTATTGTTAGGCTTCGTTCTTCCAAAACTAAAGTTATCAAATAGTTTCAGAGACAGAATGCTCATGACACTACCTAATGGTGGGAAGCATTGATTCATAACAATGGCTGCTGAGACTTGAATTTTTTTAACATATTTCCTTATTATTAAAGCCCCTTGTTATTTAAATGAGACCAATTTTTTTTATTTTTATTTTTTTTATGGACTGCACAAAAATAGCAACCTTACTCAAAACTCTTCTCATGCTGAGTGAGCTATAAAACACTGAGCCTGCCAGCCAACTGCCGACACCTCACGAAGCTCTGAGTAGGTTTGACACTTTATCCCAGTCTAAATTAAGAAAAACGTTTTGAGCACCGTTTTAATAAAAAAAAGTCATAATGATAAGTATTTTTATAAACATCTGTATATTCAAATTTACTTTCCTTCATACATAAAGTGAAATACAGAATAAAAATAGCAATGAAATCTGTACTTTTGTACTCTAAAAAAAGCATGTGCTAAGGTAATATTTATAAAAAAATAAAAATAAATAAAAAATAAAAAAATTAGAGTTTATGTGCTAAGATGCTACCAGCTGATCTTTAAAGGAACAGATTTGACTTTTGCCGAAAAACAAAACCAAATTTACAAGGCTTCCATGAATAATGAAAATAAAAGTATTTCAAGAAATCTTGGATTTATTTCTAGAGTTCAAAAGCAATATCATAACACGGTAATTTCATATCTGACGTCTTAACATTTTATCATAGGATCAAAAGAGTATAAAATAATATAGGGTTGCATATTGTATAATTTTTCCACAAATGGAATTCCAAATTGTGCTGTAAACAGATTATACTGATTACCTTTACTTCTCTACATGTTAAAAAATGGTAACAAAAACATTCTATGAGTATGTTAGTAAGGCCTGGAAAGAGCTTAAATCTAAATTTGATGAGGAATTTTAAGCCCCCCCCTAAAAAAAACAGAACAAAACTTTTTTAATGCAATATGAGAAACCAAACAGTATTTCCAGAACTTAAAATAGATATATGTCACATCTCAAACAATGAAATAGCTTAATATATTGCATTTTAATGTTAATGTTTAACCAATGGTGCCCAAATTATTTTTTTAAGTAATTGGATAGAAATTTTATTCTGAGATATTATGCCTTCAATATGAATATAAAAATTGAAATTTAATTAAACTGCCAATAGTTTTAAAAAATTGCATACCAAAAATAGAACGCTGGACATTGGCATTACTTTTTTTTTAGCATATAGCAGGCAAATTAGTAGTACTTTTAAAATGTTTAAAAATAGGTATACAGCACTTTAAAAACATGTATGTATTTAAAAATATTTAGAAATATGTAAAAAATAACTTGTACAATAATAATAAAACACTTAAATGTGATGCTCAGTTTTTAAAGGTGAGAGAATTTACATTTAAGGAATAAAATGGGAAAAGAAGAATAAATGGGAGAGAAAAGGAATAAAATGGGTGAAAACACAAATAAAGCACTTGAATAACATATATTACAAAAACTTAAAAACGCATAGTAAATGGATACGACACTAATAAAATGTAGTAGTTATTATTTTGCATGAAATTTTTTTAAAACATTTTTTACATAAAATAGTATACAAATATATGAGGTCTTGCCTGTCGTACTTATTTTGAGAGGCTTTAGAATTGTCCTGGAAGTAAATATATGATTTTAGTTTTAAGCAAGCATTTCCAGTGAAAGCATTCTGAACCAACTCAATATCTAAGTCTTTTGCTTCACTTCAATTATCTCTTTCACTTGGAATATTATAGTAGGAAGAAAAAAAATTAAGGTCCACTTTACTGCCACAAGATCTACTCGATTACAGACTGATAAATTTGCTCTTGCATCAGACATGTAGAACAAATTTGTTGAAAACCGCAAAACGTGCTACCGGCAAGGACAAAATATTACAGTTGATGAACAATTCTTCCCAACTAAAGCTAGGTGTAGATTTACACAATATATGCCTAATAAACCTGACAAATTTGGAATAAAATTTTAGTTATTTGTCGACATTGATACTAAATAGCTCTTGAATGAATTTCCTTATCTAGGAAAAGATGAAACAGCAAATCCTCAAGTATGTTTGTCTGAAAATGTTGTCATAAAATTAATGGAACTACATCTAAATAAAGAGAGGAATATTACTACGGATAACTGTTTTACTACCATTAAATTAACAGAAATGCTAAAATCAAAAATATGACTATGGCCGGCACAATGAAAAAGAACAGAAGAGAAATTCCTATATCTTTGAAAAATATGTGTAATAATCATTATTTATTGATAATAGTAGAACATGATAATGTCACACTTACCATCTATCAAGGCAAAAGAAACAAAAGTGTTTTTCTACTGAGCTCATTACATTCTACTGTAAAAACAGAAGACAGTCTCAAGAAGTTGCCCAATTCAATAACATTTTACAATGCAAGAAAGTATAATGATATTTGTGATCTTGTCTATTCATGATCATATGTTTTAGAAGACATATGATCTCAAAGATCCCTCCTGAGTCTTCAGAAAAAAGCACATGAAAAGAAAATGGATATAAAGAGAAAAAAAGTGTCAAGTACGGAGATGCAACAGAAACAAATCTCAAGAATATTGTGCATCTTGTTCCAATGTTGTATGCGGAAAATGCACTGGAAAAATTGTTAAAAATTATTTTTGTATCAACTGCATTAATTCTTAATACGTATCTGTAATCTCTAATATTTTAAACATTAAATAGAATTGAAACGAAATGCTTTACATATTCTATTCAGCTACACATACAATGATATAAATGAAACATCAGAGAAAATTTCTCATTTCTGGATTTAGAGAGTGAATCCTCCTCCAAGTAAGTACATAAAAAAAATATTATTATATAAATTGTGTTTTATTTTAGTTAACATTAGTTTTAATGCAAGAAACCATTTATTTGAAATCAATTCTTAAATCAAATTAATGAGTTATTTGAGTAATTGTAGTATGATCCAATTGATCGCCATATACTCGACACATTTACAGTATTTTAAAAAGTCAATAAACTATCATGTGATATTAAATATAAATTATGAAATACATATAAAGTACAGTCAAAAGTCGTCAATCCGGACTCGTCGGGACTTCGGCGACTCCGGATTATCGATTTTTCCGGATTATAGATCATCAGTTTAAATCTCGTAAGATGGCATGCAGAAATTCTAAAATTAAAAATATGAAACCGTAATTTATGAAATAAAGAGCAAAATCATATAAAGGGTATCAAAATTTACAAACAAAAAAAAAAAAAAAAAAAAAAAAAAAGAGCTTAATATTTATTTGTTTACTTTATTAAACATTTCTCTCAATGTAAGTTGTTTAAGTTGCTTCATTTTATGTGATAATACTTTCTCTTTAATTCTATAAAAAGACATAATTTCTTGTTCAGTTACAAAGTTCCGCTGTTAAAGTCCCGTTAATTGCTGTGCCGAGAATATCGACTAACTTGTCAATCGAAATTTTTTCGTTTTCACTAACCTCTCTGTCACATTCTTCATGTCTTTATCCATTTTTTGCAGCAATTCCACTTTTTGTTTGTTGGACATCGAAACATACTTTCGTTTTGCAGATCCTTTGGAAGTTCCAGCATCGGAAATTCTATTTGACATAATCGAAAGTTCAAGTTTACTTTTATAAAATTGCTCTTACAGTCTGCAAAAAATAATAAGCGGCATCCAATTCGAAGATTAAGGAACAACGTAATCATTAACATTAACTGAAATAGATAATTAGATAATTTTAGCTTACACCGTCCATTATACATTAAACGCGCAGGCGAAAACATATTCTGCACTTGCACACACGCATATGCGCAGTAGTCAAGGTCTTACGCACACGCGTAAAACGCCTGTGCGCATGTGCCGACGCGGCGCATGCGCAGAAAGTTTTTAGCTTTGAGGTCCGGATTATGGGTGTCCGAATTAATGACTTTTGACTGTACATATTTGTGCCAATGTATGGCATTTAAAATTGTTTTACCATTGTTATTTCAATACTGTCATCGAAGAGTCAAAAATACCCATTACCGCCGTTCTAATGTTAACATGGCTAGCATGATTGATTTTTCTGCAAGTGTGAGTATTGTAGCATCATTCATTTACTACAGGTAGAAAGAAATAGCACAGCTGAAGTCCACTGCAGAATAAACTGAACTGATGATCTAAACTTTATAGGTGATGGTACTGTGTGAGATTCATGTATGAAATTTTAAGATGGCTCAACTGATATTTATGATAAAGGTGAGCAAGGATGCAAGTCTGCCATTAGTCATGATTTTGTTCAACAAGAAAGGTGGAAGTTAACTATTAGTCAATAGTCTGGACTTTCTGGGCATGTCAAGGTCAGGTCTAAACACTATAATAATGGAACATCTATGCTACCAAAAACTTTGTACACATTGATTTCAAAAAAAGTTGTCTGAAGACCACGAAACAAGGTGAATGGTCTTAAGTTTCTCATAAATTATGCTGAAAAGTGGAAGAGTTTCAAACAAAGGTTAATAAACAGGAAAATCACAACTACCATTTTCTGGATCAGAAAGGTGTTTTGCTCGTAATATTTATGGAGCACAAGACTAAAAGCAATGCAAATGTAGATTGTCACACATTATGTCAAATATGGAAGACATTTAGAACAAAAGGAGAGGCATGCTGCTTTTGGAAAGAGTTTTGATTCATGAAAACACAAGAGAACATACTAGTGCAGTAATTCCAAAACTTCTTATACAGTTTCAATGGGAAGTGTTGGATCAATCAGTGCAGAATCCAGACCTGCAAGTGGCTTTCACCTTTTCCTAAAGTTGAAGACAGGTCTGCGAGGACAGTATTTTTGCACTAATGAGAGCATCAAGCTGCTGTGAAGACCTATCTCCATACACTGGCAGCAATCTTTTATGATGATGGTATTGGAAAACTCATTCCACTGGTATGACATCTCAATCTTCCTAACAACTATTAAAAAAGTTAACTTTAATTGTACTTTATACCTGGTAATAAAATTATCCTGTTGTTCACACTTGCCTTGTCACACTTTATGTCTCTCATAATTCAACAATATTTAGGATATGTTCAGAAATAATGTTTATATCAAAATGTTTAGCATGTTAAAGTCAAAATGATAAATAGAAAAGTATTTTTACCCTGAAAATTATTCATACCTCTAGCATTTCTTGCATTTGAGGATTACTTGTAATAATCTGCCTCATGTATTCAGGATTTTCCATCATTGATTGAACAAAAGGATTATTCATGATCTGCTGCAATAGTTCAGGATTCTGTAACAGCTGTATTTCAAAGGAAAAATAATAAAATTAAATGAGGCTTAATTTCATTTTCTATTAAAATATGAATAAATAATTAAAATTATGTAAAACTGGAATTTTAATTAAACAAGGAGAGGATCTTAAAAAGGCACCATCTTTTACAAAATATAGTTCTTTTCATAAAGACCACAAGCATTAAAGAATTAAACCACAAGTATTTTAACACGATATACCGAAAGTTCTGTAAATCCATAAAAGTTATAGTATGAAAATATCTATAAGCATTTATTTACAGACCAAATTATTTTCATTTCATAGGATTGTTACATACATTCATATGCAAATTTATCTATACATATCTAAAAATAATGATATTCCATGAAATATCCAATCAATGTAATCCATTTTTAGGTAACGTGTGAAAAAGTCTAATTAGTATTATCCAATCAAAAGTGATTAAACAGTTTTTGATATGCAAATTAAGACATTATGTCATCTGACAGTGAATCATACCTTGCACAAAATGAATATCTGATTGAATTTTCAAATTTTCACAAAACTGCATTCGATTTTGGTATATAAAGACTAAAAATTGTTTGTTATAGCTCTGAAGTATCATTTGGAAGAATCTGTGAAGTGGCAAATCATCAGCCACTTAGAAGAAGGATAAGCCATCATGGAAGCAGTGAAATGAGTGCACATTTCACAACAGATAGACATGCTATGAAAACAATTTTAGAATCTGAAACTGTTGTAACAAAGCCTGAACAAGACTAGAAACAAATAACTACTGCTCCTGAAATCAATATTTGACAATAATTGCTCATCATAACAAGTCTATTGCTCTGTGGTTAAGTTCAAAGCTTGCAACCACACTTGAAACTGTTGTATAATGGCAAACTGTACACAGATGCCTTATTGAAAAAGCCCTTTCAGCCCAAAAGCCAATGATATGCATTTCACTCTCTTCACAACAAAAAAGGAATTGATGCAGAGAACATGAGAACTGGAGTCAACACAAATGGCCACATTATATTTTTACTAATTAGTTGAGGCTTAGTTTAACATCTAATTCCAAATGTGTTTACATCTAAAAGAGGCCAGGAACATGAAATCTTCCTTCAAAATAATAAAACCTTACTATCTACAGGGATGATGGTATGGTGAGGAATAAAGATCAATACACATACATCTTTATACATTTTCAATAATGATCTCGCACCGGCCAAAGATATTAAGGTGAGGTCTTAGAACTTTTATGTAAGACTTTTCTGAGGCTTGTTAGTTATGAACGATAATGCTCATCCACATAGAACAAATTTCACTGATGACTTTTTTAATATGAAAACACTGAGCAAAACTAAAGCAAGGTTAATATCTTGATCTTAACGTAATAGAGAACTTATGGAAAGTACAGTCAAAAGTCATTAATTCGGACCTCAAAGCTAAAATCTTTCTGCGCATGCGCCGCGTTGACGCATGCGCATAGGCGTTTTACACGTGCGCGCAAGACATTTACGACTGCGCATATGCGTTTGCGCAAGCACAGAATACGTTTTTGACTGCGCGTTTAATGTATAACGTGTTGAAAAATATAGCTTATTTTTAAACCTTTTTACTGCATCATCTCTCCTCCTTGAAATGTTATTTAGTTTAGTCCTTATTTTAATGTAATATAGTAGTTACTTCTACTTCTTTTTCTTGCTGCCACTGTTTGCATTGAGAACGGACTGTTTCAACCTAATTGAGATGCAAAAACGAAACATTATGTACGTCATCTGAAAAGCCGATTCGTGCCGATAGCTGATTGGTTCCGTAAGATGACGTCATTCCTACTTCTGCTATAAGTATCTCGCGTCGCTCTGGCTCAACCCTTCTAGTTCCTGCTTTCCCGGCACGTGAGTGAGCGGTTCCAGCCCCTTCAGCCTCAAAAGGATGCATGCATGCAGTCCGGTGAATAAATGCTTTGATTCCGGTTTTCCGAGATGATGGTTCCAGAATAAGTTCTTCGGTTTTCAGAGGCTACCATGTGAGTGACTGCCGTGGCAGCATCCATGTTCTTCAATAAAGGCGGCAATTAAAAATACGTGAGCGGCGACTCCTTGTGCAAACGGGGTTAGTGCTTTCAAGAACTTCATTTAAATTTTCAGGTGTTTTCTTGACCATTGATTATGGACTGATTAAATGTGTAGCCAGCTTTATTTTAGGCTGCAAATTACTGTTTAGGGCATTTTTTTGTTGTATAGAATGCCAGTGGTTTTGGAGACCAGGTAAAAATATTGTTGGATGAATGATGATTATATTATATTTTTCCTAAGACTCTAATATTGTTGACATTTATTTTTTGTGTTTTTAATCTTTATTATATTGTTAATAAATTGGTTAAGTTCAAAATCCTTTATTGTCTTCAATGTCTGCACAACATATCTCAGGGAGCTTTCATTGCTACTACTGCTAAATGTTTAATTTCTTTAAACTTTAAACTTTGCTTTAGCATCATAACGGACAGTATAAGCTCAAATTATCTATTTCAGTTAATGTTGATGATTGCGTTGTTCCTTAATCTTGGAATTGTATCTGGCTTATTATTTTTTGAAGACTGTAAGAGCAATTTTATAAAAGTAAGCTTGAACTTTCGATTATGTCAAATAGAATTTCCAATGCTGGAGCTACCAAAGGATCTAGAAAACGAAAGTATGTTTCGATGTCCATCAAACAAAAAACGAATTGCTACAAAAAATGGATAAAGGATAAAGCCATATCCTTTGTTTATCTAACCGTTCGGAAATCTGTTTATAAATTTCACCCTGCTCTGCGCGCGGGGGGGGGGGGCATCGCGGACAGGGACGCACAATGAACTGAAAGTTGATCTGTCAACACTATTGTTATCTTCAGGGCAGATGTTTTTATTTTATTCGGCTTTTTGATATGATTTAAATAAAATTCCTCGTCATTATAAATATCACATACAAATCAAATAGTTTTCTGGTTTCAATTTTTTCAATTTTCTAATTTCAGCTATGCGTAAGGTATGCTTTACGCATGCGCGTGTTGAAAGAAATGTTTAATAAAGTAAACAAATAAATATTAAGCTTCTTTTTTGTAAATTTTGATACCCTTTAGATCATAATTGCTCATTATTTTATAAATTACGGTTTCATATTTTTAATTTTATAATTTCTGCATGCCATCTTACCAGATTTAAACTGATGATCTATGATCCGGAAAAATCGATAATCCGGAATCGCCGAAGTCCCGACGAGTCCGGATTAAAGACTTTTGACTGTACTTTGGAAAAGTAGCTACAGAAAAATCCTACATATGTAATGCCTTGAAGACTGCATTGCTGGGAAAATGGAATTTAATTTCCAAAACTATGGCTAACGATATTATTGCCGACATGCAAACAGGCTCTGATATGTATGTGAAGTCAAAAAAAGATCACATTCCATATTAAATTCATAAGCCTTAATTTTTGCGCAAGTTCCTTCCCCTTCTTCGTAACATATAATTATCATTTTTATTGTTTCATATATTATGTTTTAAATCACATATAGTGCTCTTAATTTTTTTCCTTTGTCTTTATATGTTATGATGTTATGTATTGTTCCACACAAATTCATAAAATTATAGTTCACAGTTTCTGAGAAATTCGTGATTTCACGTATGTAATGATAATTCTGGACTTGAGTTATTATACTCATATAATATAAAAAACTAATTCAAAATATGAAATATTATGAATAGTATAAGCAGTTTTTGCATATAGCTGAATGTAACATATAAGATGCTTACTTCTCTTTGCATCTGTTGCTGTACTTCAAGAAAGTTTGGTGATCCTAGACCTAAGCTTCCTAGACCTGGAATACCACCAAGCATGCTTAATCCAAAAGGAGAAGCACCAATATTTGCAGATGGAGCCTATATGAAAACAGAAACATATATATATATACTTCATTCACACAGAAAGGGAAAAAATTTCAACAAAAACAAATTATGTTAAAATAGATATAAATATAAAAATTTCTTCTAATATATGCTTAGAATTAAGTTTATTTAATTTTATTAATAAATGCCTAACTTTTAGATGATTATGATTTTATTAAAACATGCTTAGCATAATTTTAAATGCAAGATTATTAGTTAATATTTAAAGTAATATGCAAAGTTTTATAATTGTAGGCTTACCGTATTGGCTCTAATGACTAAATGTAAAGTGTGCCCATCTTGTATGCCTGCAACATTAAATACAATCTTGTCAAAATAAAAAATATCAAAATAAAAAATTTTAAAAATGCTTGTTCAAATTAATTTTTTTTTCTAGTCAGTCAAAACAAAAAGAAAATTTATAAGGTTTTATTTTAATAAACCTAGCTATCATACTAGTTTGAATTTACTTTTACTTTTGTCAGCTTTCACCAGAATGCAAATTAGCTAAAGTATAAACCAGTGCACAGTTTTTGAGTTTGGAAACTAATTTGCATTTCTCATTCAGTTTGACTTGAATACTTGCTCTGAATTACCTTCACTTCGGAGGAGCTTGTGCTTCTGTTATATTTTTAAGTTTTGAGCAACTGTCAGATTGTTTTAATAAATACATTTATTTCAAACCTTCACTTTGAGTTTGTAATTCCTGTAATTAGAAGGCAGACAGTTTATAAATTTTCTGACTGTCTTTACGGTTCTACTAAATTTGGCAATTTAAAATTGTGAAGATTTGAATAAATTGAAATTAAGCTTCTATGACATTTTTCAGGAACACAGTCTTCTTTTTAAAATTAAGATGAAAACCAAACTCAGTTCTTGCTAATAACATCACTTATTCATCTTGAACTTCTTCATGAAGAAAATTCATTCAGTTGCTCTAAAGAAGGGAAACTCTGGAAATCACTTGACTCCTAATTTCTCAATCTTTCCCATATAAGCAGCACTTCTTCTGGAAGGCAACTTTCCACTAATGGAATTAGAAAATCAGAGAAAGAGAGAAGAATCAGAGAAATCTAGTTCTAGTTCTAAAAGACTAGTAAAACAAACAAAAAATAATCTACACAAAGTCAAACAAAAAATAATCTACAATGAATTAGAAGTCACCAAGGCTCAATTGGCAATTGAAAAGCTGATGAACTGGCAAAGAAAGGAATATATTCGGAAACGACTTCAAAGTGTAAGCTTCCACTAAGTTACATCCACCAGATTGCCAAGAAAAAGGATCTCAAAATATGGCAACAGAGATGGGTAGACGATGTTACAGGACGAACAACTTTTAAACTTCTCCCAAAAGTATCGGAAAAGGGACATCATGCAGACTTCTTCCTAAACCAAATGCTCACTAATCATGGAGCCTTCCCAAATTATATAACTAGATTCAAACTGAAAGACTGTCCATGCTCTTGTAAATGTGGTTTATCCACAGCAGATGCTCTCCACATAATTGTGGAATGTTCAAGTACCAAGAACTTTAGATAACAATTATTTCCACAAAACCTAACAGTGGATTTATTTATTAAATTAATTCAAATTGATAAAGGTAGAATATTAATCTAAAAAATAATGGAAATGATCTATCAAAACGAAAATGTGTTATATTCATAATGTAATGTCCTACCAAGTCTGGTTAATACCTCTTTCTAATAATAATAATTTTCTATTCTTTGTATAATGTTCTTAGGATTATTGATTTACATTTTGTCTATGGCAAATATTATCTCATATTATCCTATAACTTTTTTTAATATAATGTATTCAATTATTGTATCATGACTAATATGGATCTCGTGTATATTTTGTATACAGGAACAATAAAGGTGTTGGTGAGGCCAACACATCTTTAAGTCAGAGGATATCAATTTTTTTTTTTTTTTTTTCCATTAGGGTTTTATTTTATAATTCTTGCTTTTCATTTAGCACTATGCTTCCAAATCAAATTTTCACTTAGCTTTTGGCTCCGGTGATACCTCTTATTACAATTAGTCACGAATGTTCAGTAATTTTTTAGGAGGGAATGCAGATAATCAAAGAGTATCCAATTTTTTAAATCAGTAAACATTCAAATTATTTTAAATAGAAGCTGCTTTAAAGTAATAAAGAGGACGTTTCATTAACCTTTCGATATAAGGAATATTACACTGACAAAATATTTTTATAATTTATAAATAATGATTCTATATGCAAATAATATAAAAAATATATAAACTTACTACAAGCAGACAAAATTTCATGATCTTTTAGAATTTTTCCAGAAAAAATTAGGCATAATTGATCAACAGGTGTTTTGTACACTTTGGACGTTTCTTCTTTAAGCTAAAAAAAAAAAAAAAAAAAGTAACTCAAATTATATTTCTGAATTTTCAATAGTGTTTAAAAAATTACTTATACTGATAAGAAAGAATTTTTCAATAAGGAAGGTCACCTAATCTTGAGCTTCAAATTAGTTTGTTAAAAAAAAAAAAAAAAAAAAAGAGAGAGAGGCACAGAAGAAAGCAGTTTTTTAAAGAGATACAACAGCAACAGGGAACATTTCTCTGTTTCAATCTTTTGAAAACCCATTATAGAGAAAGAACACAGCTTTTCTTATTTTCTTTGCAGGCTAGAGGTCTTATCAGTCTTAAAACATGATTTTGCATTGTTTCTTCCCATTCAAGTCCATTGGCATTCAGCAAAATACGGTATTTATTTTTTAAACTGAATCTGCCCATTATGGATTAGGATACAGTACAAAGTCTTTAATCCGGACCTCAAAGCTACAAACTTTCTGCACATGCGTAAATGTTACGCATGCGCATAATACCTTTACGCATGAGCATATGAATTTACGCATGCACGTTTAATGTATAACGTTTAATATAATTAAGGTATAAGCTAGGCTAAAATTATCTAATTATCTATTCCAGTTAATGTTGCAAATTGCGTTGTTCCTTAATCTTCTAATTGGATCCAGCTTATTATTTTTTGCAGACTGTTAGAGCAATTTTATAAAAAGTAAGCTTGAACTTTCGATCATGTCAAAAAGAGTTTTTGATTCTGGAGCTGCCAAAGGATCTACAAAAGTGAATGCATGTTTCAATGTCCAGGGAAAAAAAAAAAAAAAAAAAAAAAAAAAAAAATTGAATTGCTACGAAAAATGGATAAAGGCATGAAGAAAGTGACAGAGAAGTTAGTGAAAACAAAAAAAAATTTCGATTGACAAGTTAGTCGGTACTCTCGGCACAGCAATTACAGGACTTGGAACGGAGGAACTTTGTAACTGAACAAGAAATTATGTCTATTTATAGAATTAAGGAGAAAGTATTAGGCACATAAAACGAAGCAACTTAAACAACTTACATTGAAAGAAATGTTTAGTAAACAAATAAATATTAAGCTTTCTTTTTTGTAAATTTTGATACCCTTTAGATCATAATTGCTCTTTATTTCATAAATTACGGTTTCATATTTTTAATTTTATAATTTCTGCATGCCATCTTACCAGATTTAAATTGATGATCTATAATACAGAAAAACCCCTAATACGGAATCGCCAAAGTCCCAACGAGTACGAATTAAAAACTTTGTACTGTATTAAGCTACTTAAATGCAACAGATGCAGTTGTTATTATTCTTTTTTTTACTTTTGAATAAGATTGATTTAAATAAAAATGCACTGAATTCATAATCCACCTAATTAAAAACATTCAATATTTTTAGAGAATTACAATACATATATTCTCACTTTTCAAATACACAAAAGATATAGAACATTCCCATATTAGTCTCAATGCATATTCATTTAGTGTCCTATAAAATGTTTCGCTAATCCACCTGGGACATCTCTATTTATTTTTTCTAATAGCCATATTAAACTTTTAACATGTTGAGCACCACGTCAGCCATCTGTGGCTGACACTAGACTTTCCGTTTAAGCCGCGTCCACCACCACTGGCTGACAGCATATAACATAGTACATAACTATAAAATTTACACTGTTTTATGGAATTACAGAAAATTTATTTAAAATTTACTTAATTTTTGATTCTCATTACAGGATTAATGAATTTCATTGAAACATGTAAATGTAAAAACGGTTCTCCATTACAGCTATTACCAAATGTGACAACTCTCTTAGTCTTTTTTCTGGTCATTACTCTACTAGCTTCTGTTGCATTTTTATCATAACATAATTTACAATTATTTTCATACTTCAGATGCTTTTCCCGGTTTTCTTTGGAGTTAATATTGTTGTTTTTTAGATATTCTTGCATTTCTGTTCGATAGAATGTCTTCTTTTTCACAACTTGTAAGGGATAGCGCTAATTTTTTCCGGAATTCAGTAATGCTAATTTTCTGCTTCGTAATATCTTTCGTAAATTGGCCATGAATCTATTTTAATAAAATCTTAGCTAGTTGGCCAAATGGTAAAGAAAACAAAACAGATTTGGTGTGTAACGTGTTGAATGAATGACTATAGAAATCACGTTCCAAACGTAAACTGTCTTCTACTGCGATAAAAATCACTGGCCCTACAATACCAGCGCTTTTAAGTGCCGTGCATGGCCTAAACAGGATTGCCTAAGAAATATGTGCGGCGCCCAGTGCTTTAAAACAGCTCTTTTGGGCAAATGTTAAAATCAAACTCCTTTCAGGTTTTCACTTTTATTTATTTTTGTGAATAAGTTTTTATCAACATTATTGCACCCATCAATTGTTGCATTAGTATGAAATCACATATACTTCTCTTATGTATTATCCTAATCATCTGTTGTAGTATTTGGAGCAATAATAGATGCAAATTCCTCACACCAATAAAGTTAGTCAATCATGCACGACTACTGGAAGGAACAGGTGACTCAACAAACCATTCTTGTATTCAAACACCTTTATTACCTTGGCCTGAGCAAAGGGTCATATTATAAGGTAGTTATTCAAATATATATATATATATTTTTTGGAAGAACATCACTTTTTTGGAGAAACATGATAGCAACTTTGTCTCTTGGCAAATCTTAAAGTGTAGCATCTAGTTCAAAAAAAAGAGAAAAAAATTATTTGATAAAAAAAAGGAGGTGATTGGGCTAGTGATGGTTATAAAACAATTACTGCCAGGATAGAAGCCACACCTTGTGTCAAGGAAATATGTCAAAATAAGAAAGTACAAATGATACAATTTTAGCAGAAAAGTAGAAAAAAAGTTACCTTATGCATTTGGAAAGAAATGTCAATTAAAATTAGTGGCTAAATCTGAGCAGATAATGCTGGGGGTAGGGAGAGTTTTAAATATGAAGTTTCAGTTTGCCAAATGCAAACATACCGACAAAATTTGAGGGCATTTTGGAACATTGCCAGGTTGTACTGACTGCCAAACATACTGTGTTTCCCCGAAAACAAGATCAGTCATATATTAATTTTTGTTGCAAGAGACACAAAAAGGCTTATTTTGAGGGGATGTCTTATTTTGCATAAGCAGTAATTAACATTTGTTCATGCTCAAGAAACACACTTCTTCGAGATAAAAAGATACATTTATTCAGGTACAAGAAATACACTTATTCGCATTCAAGAAACATTCAAATATGAACAAAACCATTCATTCTAATACAGCCATGTCGTCTTCCTCTGGAACATGGTCATAAAGCCTTAAATCACAAATTCCAGACTGGTCTTTTTTTACAACTTCATTTTCTTTAAGACCACTGGTCCTAGCCTCTCTTGTGAGCAATAGAGCTCTTCTCAAATGAACTCTTCTTGTCTATGTAACCTGCTTGCAGGGCATTGGCAACACAGATAGAATGGAAAAGAGAATTAGTTATTAGAAGAGTACATGTATTCTTCATCCAAGTAATGACTTCTTGACGCTTAGGCTTCACAAAGTTTTCTTTCTGATTTCTCGCCATTCTATTTTCATTGTAGTCATTCATTTCTCTGCACAAATGGTCTTTAAATGGCTTGTTTATTACAATATCAAGAGTTTGCAGATATGCAGTTATTTTTGAGGAAATCATTATTTGATCAATTCTTTTTTCTACATGGAAGTTTTTTGTGGTTTTAGCACAGTGAGTGCTGGCAGAATCCCACACAACCATTCCTCTTCATCCGCTCCACAAAACAAGAAGTAGGAATAAATTGACCCACCTTCTTACTGCTGCTTGTGTGCATCAAGCTTTCTCAGTCTCAAGAACACAAATACCTGAAACTTGTTTGATTTCCCCTTTCTTGCCCTTAGAAATGATTAAAGTGGGGTTCTATGCATACAAATAAAATACATGTAATGCATGCACTTTCATAACCACTGAAAGGAATGTATATTGCACAGGCAGTGCTTTGCAACCTTTTTATGGCCACAGATCGGTGAACGTTTGATACTTTTACTGTGGCCTGTTGAGGAAGGGACGTTGATTATTTATATTTCAGATTGTTTTGATTTAATAATTTTAACTTAATTGTATTTAAACAGGCCTTCAAAATAAAATACAGTTGCTCAAAAAATGAATACAAAATGATTTAACATTTTAATTTACTAGAGGGCTAAATCAATAAGAACCCTGAACTTGTTTCTTTGGTTTAATGTGGGGATAATAGGAGACAATGACACCCGAAACGTGTTGCTTATGTTCAGTTTATTCCGTTGTTTTGTTTTGCCTGCTGTCAATGCAAAAATACCCCGCTTCACATACATAGGTTGTCGGCAATGGCAATAGGGATTTAAGTTCTGTGGTGGCAATCTCAGGGTATTCTGCCATGACTTTTAATCCAGAACACTAGCAGAGTTGCTCTCTCAAACATAGTTTTAAGGCCACTGTCATTTTCGATCTCCAGAAGTTGATCTTCTTACACATTCACCTGATTTGTTGACAAATTGGTTGCAGATCCATTCCTTACCAGTTCATGAGTTTTTTCTGGTTGAGAAGTAATGCTCCAGCAGAGTTGTTATCTCAAACATAGTTTTCAGGCCGCTGTCATCTGCAGTCTCCAGCAGTTGATCTTCTTGCATATTTACCTGATTTGTTGACAAATGGGTTGCAGATCCATTCCTTACCAGTTTGCGGGTCTTTTATGGTTTAGGAATAGTGCTCGAACCCTTTTAAAAGCAAAGACAGGTAATCATGCAACAAGTGGGAGAATAAATATTCAGGCTCAGTCTCACCTAAAATCCTCGCTAATGTCTGAAACTTGTCCAAAATGCCTCCGTTCAAGTGCCGTCCCCACAATTTTAGTTTGGCTTTAAATGCAGCTACTTTGCAGGCGCAATCAACTGGAAGTTGATCTGTCAGCACTATCCTTATCTTCAGGACAGATGTTTTAATTTTATTTCGCTTATAATTCCTTAC